TTTATTATTTTCTTTTTCATTTTTTTAAGAAAAACATTTGACATAATTTTGGGATTCTTTTCAACAAGAAACTTAAAAGAATCCCTTAAAGACTAAAAATTGCCAATGAAGTACAGAACGCTTCAGTCGGGTATGATTGACTGTAAAGTACTCATTCACAATACAAAAAGCAGCTAAATTTGTTTGAGAAGAGTATTGTAGTAGTGTTTTGTAATTAGGAAACAGGACTATCTAAGAAGCAGATATAAAGTGATCAATACAACAAATTTTACATTTTTATCTGCATAAAAACATATTTCTCTCTGTACTGAAAGTCATTTAAGTTTTGGGAAAATTGAACTGAAGTTGTTGTAGCTGTGAGAGACATAGGACTCTTTTATTGTTTGTACCATGAAATGTCTTCAGTAAAGTTTCCAGTTCCAGTTTATAGTTCTGCACTGCTTAAATAAAGAATTTATCTGAAATTAACACTGATTGACCGGAACTTCAGCCTTTCCGGTCACAGTACTCAAAAGACTGTTAATGATGTTAATTGGCATTGAATGTTTATTAACGTTTCTACACCTTTTATTTTCATAATGCAGAGTAATTCCTTTGGCTGCGCTTTCCCTTTTTATTCAATATTAGCAGCAGCGACTTTTATTTGTAGTGCGCCTGGAACTAAACCCGCAAACGCGAAAATTTATCGTATGTAGCTCTTAGGTGGTCATCCAATTCAACCATTATTTGTTGTTGCTTTTCGAGAGTTGTGTTCACGCAGTCAGTGTAAGGTGCCCCAGACTCTTCGACGCGCCTTTCGCTACTGGATATACTATTTAACAGGACGGCATTCTCGGCTATGAGCCTTTTTGACCGATGCTCACATATTGCCAACTGTTCGCTGAGTTCCGTATTCTCCAAGTCAGTTGATCTATCATTTGCTTTGTCAGTCAGTGGATTATAGCAGACGGTGATGCTCTTGTCACTTGGAGAATTTTGACTGCCATCCTCATTTTTGACATCCCTAAAGTAAAGTTCCTGCAATTGATTCATTATTTTTGATTTCCATCTAATTATAGTCAGAAGCTCGTCATATTCGTCGTAAAGCAGCTTTCTTATGGCTCTCTCGCAGGTCAAGCACCGAACGAAAGAAGGTTTCTGAAACAATTCGTTAACATATTCAAATTAGCTCAACTATTCTCCTTAAATTTGCGTAATCAACTCACCTTGTCAGACAACGAATTGGATTCGTCTGCCGGAACGACAGCTGCGACTGCTATCAAAAGCGCAAACACTTTCAGATTAATCATTTGATATCTATATATTTAGTATGACTGTACTGAAGCCTTCGAGATCTCCTACTAAGGCACAATACAGACTTCAGCCGGGCTTCATTGTCAACGTCTTTATATAACAATTGAGTCTAGCTAGGAATCGACGCGTATCTGTTTCTAATGACATTTTATAGCTAATCCAATTTTAACGCCGACAAATTATAAAAAATTTACTCAAGTACTAAAAGGTATAGCAATATACACGTTATATACCATACACGTTAAAGTTACTTAAGATAGCTGTACGAGTGCCAAACACGGCAAAATGATGCAGTTGTAGGAGTTAACATAATATTCGATGAGTCTCCAGATAATGTTTGTCATACCGTCAATTCTCATTAATATCTCTACCTCACCTACCAAAGATTTTGAAATAATGGTTGTTTTATTCACAGATCCCAATATTCGACCTATTTTGCTGCTGAAGAATTTATTAATATACAAGATTGTTTGCAGTGATGGTTTAAAATATGATGCTTGTAAAAAGCATAATAAATATAAATTAAATAAATAAACTATAAATAATAATAATGCAAAATAATAAAACATAAATAAAAGAAATACGTAACAGAAAATGSACAGCAGAATTTATCAAATCACTTACATTCCAACTATCTTGAAACTATAATTCTTTGTTAGCCTCTGACGTTATATGTGTTTGTGTTAAAGATGTCAAGTGAATACCCCAAATATTATAAATGCATACTAAAACTTGACAAAAAAAAAAAAAAAAAAAATACTTTAAGTCTATATTCATACAATTTTTGTGTATATATGTCGTATGTCTATATAGCTCTATAGTATACTGATTTAATTTGCAATTATTTCGAATAATTTTTCCCATTGTATGGGTTCTTAAGAGCTCTCAACTGCTGCCCAGCTTTCCTGTTGCAGGCGACTGACTCAATGGGTATGCCTGCTGCTGTTGCTCCCACAACAACAACAACAACAACAAACACAACAACAACAACTGCAGCAATAAAGTCAACGGCAACAGCAGCTGGATGCACATTGCTGACATTTGCAATTGCAAGCATAATAAAAGTGTTCGTGGCTAAATTGTCAGCTGGTTTGGGGGCTTGAGTCGTGTTGTTGTGTGTATTATAAAACAACAGGGCATAATTAGGGCTCTGCATTAGCCGCCATAAGCGACACACCCATAATAACCTCACACTCGCCCTCTCTCTCACTCTCTCCTCATCGCTATCTCTTTCTCTTTCATTGCTATTGAAATTAATTAATTAAATTATGAGCCAGTTAGAGAAGCGTGCGACATGCATGCGGCATGTCAGTCAAAGTGCATTCAAAATGCAACAAAAGCTGCATAGAAATTACAGCTGTCACCAAGCCCTATACACACACATACATATCACACTACACACACAGTCAGTTGGCATTGAGGACCAGTTATTGGCTTCGTTCGCTTTTGTTCTGCATTTGCACAAAATGGGTCAAACCCCAAAAACAATCAAGAGACGCAATGTTGCCCCGTCGGTCTGTCCGACCATTCGTCGCAATAAGCTTGGGCACTAATTAAGTGGGCGTGGCCGCGCCTAGTTGACACTACATATACGTGGAGTGTCGCGGTTTTCCATTACGGTCGGCCCTGCACATCCCAACGTCACTTTTTGCGCGGCCAAAGTCCGACAGGCTTTTGATTGAACGCCGCAACACGTCAGCTGGCTGTCAAGCATACGCACTGTGGCCGTGGCACTCTCACGCTTTATTGGCAGCGCCCCCTCCCTCCCCCTTCTCCATCAACGTGCTTGCATGTAATTATACTATCGCCCGCTGAGCACCCACACACACACACACACTAAACATTTATGCCGTGCAAATTTATAGAGCCTGCTCCAAAATATCCTTCGGAGCACAATGGATTTCGCCAGCTATTGTTATGCTAAGAGCTATGCGAAAATGCATAGAGAGAGATAGAGAGAGAGGGAGAGAGAGTGTCTTTCTCGAGAGAGATTTGTGACAAGCTTAAGGGAAACCCTAAGCAGAAAGATATGAAAGACTCTCTATCTATATGATAAATGAATAATCATAAAGTCAAAGCTGCTTATAAAGCATATAGAGAGATATAAGAGATTCACATGTGAAACTAATTCAAATTGTTCGCTTTGCATTTCTAAGCTGAGACAAGATGACTTGAGCTAAAGAGTCGCAGTCTGAATTTGAATCAGCTATATCTCTCTGTATGCATTGTAAACTCGCAAACTCTTGGAGCGACCCACCGTCGTAGGCGTTGATCCACTGGACAGTCAAATGGATGAGCAGTCAGCGGGGCAGCCACGCACGCATATGTCATTCAACAAAGGAGCCAAGGTACCCCGCCCATTGCGCCCACTCCACATCGATTCCACTGCTCTATGATATACACAGCTATTGTTGTGTGCGTGTGTTTGTGTGTGTTTTTTTAATGCCCTGTCCCAGATTGTTTATTATCAACTGGGAGCGATAAAAGTGTCCTGGCCTTATTGTATGTCATTTATATTTGGCCATAGTTGTACGTTTATTGTTGTCGCTGTTGTTGTTGTTGTTGCTGCTGTTGTTGTTGTTTCTATTGTGAGGAGATTTCTTGCTGGCTGCTTGTCAACACAAAATGGACATGTATCAATTAATCTTTTGCCGGGCACTGGGAGCGAACAGTTGTGCCTTATCCACATCCCACATCCCACATCCCACATCCCAGATCCCATATCCCCATATCGTCATATCAAAATTCAATGTGCATACCACAAGACGCACGCTTCGCCATGGCAATTTGTTTGATGGCGCTGCGTGTGCCCTCCCCTCCTGCTACTCCTCCTGCTCCTGCTGCTGCTGCTCCTGCTGCTGCTGCTCGTGTTCCTACTGCCAGTCAAGCAGATGGGGTGCCATTAAAGGTCATGAACATAAATAACGTGCAAGTCAGTCGATGGGGCATAAATTCCCAGACACCTCAACGAATTTCACATGCCACAAGTGCTACAAAAATAATTATTTAATACTCGTACTCCTTGCCTTCAAACTCTGCCATTTACGTGTGATAACTCATCAAAGTTTAATGCTCGACAAAAATATCAAAAATACAAAAAACGACAACAACAACAACAAAACTAAACAAAATGCGTCTCATGTCCTTGTCTGGCCTTTCAATGCCCCCATCCTTCCGCTCTGTGCACATTGTACAACATTTGGTATTTGGTATGTGGTATTTGGTTCGAGCCCCGTTGACACGTACTTGGTTAAAAGGAAAACGACGAGCATATTGATTAGCTGCGTGCCCGCCTTTGATACGCATGTAAACAGACTCACAGATGACTGATAACATGCTTTTAGCCCTCAAAGCACTTGGCCAGCAGTTGCTTTTCCATGCGTGCTTCTTCTTTTCGTCTTTCTTTTTGCTGTAGCTTAGTCAACTTGGTTATGCTGGCTTGCACACACACACACACACACACCCACAGCCCGAATTGGTCATGGAACAAGAGCACAATGTTGTAACAGACAGACAAGAGCTAAATTTCTTATGAAATTTACAACTTTCTTTTTAACTTAATTTGTTCTTTTTTTTTGGGTGCTAATATGTAGAACAGCTAGATAGCTCTAGATTCTATGAAATGTTTATAGCTTTCTAATATGTATGTTCTCAATGTTTTCAAATGCTTAGAAATGTTTGGTAAGTGTAGCTAATAAATGAGCAACGATTAGACATATATTAACAGTTTGACAAGCAGCAGAGGAAGATAGATATAAAGACAGAGAGAGAGATAGAGAGATATCGTACTAAAGGAACATGCAAAGAGTATAGTATTTTATATTAAAAGAGAATCGATAGTATTTGCTCTAGTTCTAATAAACCTTCAAAAGTTAATTTTTTACTCAACAACTCAAGATCAATTCTATTTTTAATCAGTATACAGAAATAGGCAAAAGCGATAGTCATTTGCTCCTTGGAAAAATCTACGACTGCGTCTCTCATATATTTATATAGACAAATGGTTAGAGGGACATTTGACAGACGGATTGACTCTGAGGAATCAAGTAAATCAAATAGATTTGACTATCACAGCTTAATGTAGAACTAGATTAAGCTGCCACTAAAGGTAGCAAAACAACTATAACAGCTAATAATGTACACTTCTATCATTTGGACTCCTTTTTCCTTAACCAGATAATACATTTTAATACGATTAGAATAAACTTGTTCTTAGTATAGAATGTATAACTTTCATAATTTAATATAATTCTGTATATTAAATTGAATTATATATTTTGTAAAATACTTTAACAGATTATTCCAAAATATTAATCATGTTAAAAATTTTTTTTTTAAATATACATATGTATTAATAGATTATTTGTCAGAAGTTATCCATAAAAATGAAATATTGCAAGTTGAAGATTTATAACTTTCTGCATTGTAAAGCATTTTATATGAATTGATTACTCTTTAGATATTATCCATGCAAAATTGTATTATGAACAGCTTATTCTATAGCTTACATCATACTAATTTCTGTGAAATATATGAGACAGATTACTCTTTTCTACTTTGCTGCGATTTAAGATTTTATGAGCCTGCAAATATTATGCAAATTATTATTTTTATATGACAAACTCCGCCCTTCTTTTTCTCTCTGTCTCTCTATCTGTCCATCACTTCTATATTAGAGTGAGCCAAAAAATATATTAAAAATTATATTCAGTTCTTACACCTGTCCGCAGAGCTGAGTGACATATCCTGCGCAAGCAGACCTATTTCTCACCTGTGGTTCTTTCACACTTGATACGGGCTGTATGGCATAATAAATCCATCAAATGTTTCATATGCTTATCATAAAATAATACGTCATCCGTTGTCCATTGTACGTGCCCATTATTCGGGTACCCCTTTGCCTACAATTTTTTCGAACACTCGGTTTCAGTTTCCACATAATTTGATGTTTATCATGCAGCAATTATATCATTTTCACAGTGAAAATTATGAAAAAGGAACGCTTGCATTTCTCTCATATCATTATAGATAATTTCTTCATTAGAAACCAAGAGTTC